TTTTTTTTTTTTTTTTTTTTTTAATAACTTTTTCAATACAGTTTCATCGAGAGCATTAAACGTCAAATAACAAGCACTAAATCGAGATAAGAGTTGACCTTCGATGTTCTTTCGTGCAACGTTGATAATTTAAGATATTCGGATTTTTTTCTGACGATCTTTCCCCATTGAAGTTGACTGTATTTTCAACTTGCGTCATGTTCCCGCCATGCGTTTCACGTTTGCAATTTCATGCGCGGCGAGGTTACAGTAAATGTCACACAAGAAAGTAACAAGTAACGCAAAACAAGACAACACTGCTACTGGAAGAAGTATTAACGGCTATTTTAATTGTCTGCAATTTATTTGTTACCTGAGTTGAATGAACGGGAACCGTGAAAAAATTTTTGAACAACCAGTCACAGTTTTGAATTGTTGAAATACAACATTGACACTATTGTTCTCTCGAGTAGTACACACCACATGCAATCACTATTGGGCACTGGAAACGAACACTATTATCCTTGTCCTCTTTGCCATTTTTCCGCCATTTTCAAAATACTGTCAGAAGTATCGTTTCTCGTAGTATTCCTTTCAAAAGTAACGATAGAGAAAAAAAAATACAATTTACAAATAAATCTACAATTTAGAAAATATATTACCTCATCAATTGATCTTATTCTTAAATAAAATGATTAACCATTTATTTGATCAGAGAATTTTGGTCAAGATATTGATTCGTATCAAAACTATTGGTACTTTGTTAAAAGAAAATTTCATCCGAACGGTGATCTAAAGAACTGAAAATTTTTGCAACTACTAATTCGATTATATCTATTATTTTAAAAGGTGCTGCCACCTGTGCTTACGCGCGATATTTTCAACAATCGTTAGACTGAAATTTTACATTAGTCGAGAGCCAACGTTTCATGAAACATTTCTAACCTTTATTTTGGTATCCTTTCATTAAATTCTTCATGCAAGTGTAAACTTGCTGCTTTGGTGTATAACTGTAGATAAAAGATGACTATGTGGGAGAGGCTACGAAATCCTTGTGGTTGGAGAGCTGGTGCTAAGCAAATTTCAGTCGACGCAATGATACCGATATTTGCGGTTCCAACATTGGCAGTTATAGCCGCGCAAACAGTGCTATGTACTGTAATCATATTTGTTGCAACACCAATATTGGTCTACTACTTGCATCACAATTTTCTGAGATTTCTACTACGTACCAAATTTTTTTTAATGTGGACGATTACGAGTGTGGTCATGTTGATGTTAATCTTTGAAGTGAGTGTCGTACCACTGCTAGAGATTTTGTTAGAAGAGAATGTAGTGTTCATAATGTGTGTCGTGGGTGGTATATGGTGCGGCTATATGACTAGATCAAATGCAGATTCTGTAACTCAAGAAGGTACTTTAACTCAAGGTTTAGAGCTTGGCGAAGGAAGTGGAGAACTTTGTATTACGTGTAGGAGAAGAGCACCACCTAAAGCTCATCATTGTCGAATGTGTCAGACATGCATTCTTAATAGAGAATATCATTGTAAATGGTAACTCTTTCTATGATAAAAATAAATTTTATCTTGCGTAATGATACAGATATATATACATATATATACCTAATATATCTGTATCATTACGCAAGATAAAATTTATTTTTATATATATATATAAAATTTTATATTTTAGGTTGGACTGTTGTATAGGTTCTAGCAATTTAAGATGGTATTTGGGATGTTTATTCTTCTCAGCCATAGCTTTTATCTATGGTTCCAATTTAACCATAACTAGTGTATGTCATCCATTTATACTCATTGGTACTGTTCTTTTACCAGATGATTGCAGCGACGTGTATCATCAATTAGAGTATGTATTGCTTGAAGAAGCCTTTATGTTACTGCCAATTAGTTAGAAGATATATAATCTCGAAATTAATAATATCAAGAATATAAAATTATATTCTAAAGAAATATAACTTTCCATTATTAAGACCAAAAGCTAAACTGGAAAGATACCAAGGACCTGTAATACCAACTTTAATAATCATAAGATATTGATAATTGTCGAGACTTGTGTTAACGTCATAAATATTGTAATATCTCTTATTTGCTTTCTCAGAATATAAGAGTTGGATAGATAACATGTCGTGCAACTGTTTATTTTGAATACCCAATCAAAGTGTAATAATGTACATATTGTTTCAGCATTGCCCTTTGCTTCGTCTCGGCACTCTACAGTTTGCTTGTTGGGCTAGTAATAGTTTGTTATTTAATATATCATCTTTGGTTAATTTACCTTGGTACAACATCAAATGAGCGACGTCTTCTGGAAGCTGGAAGTCCATATGACCATGGAATGTTAAAAAATGTATCTAGATTATTTTGTTGCAAAACTTAGATAGTAAATATAGACTAAATTATTAAATTTACTTTGTATGGGAGATGATACTTTGCAAAGAATATTAGAAAATTTAAAACAATTAAGGCCAAAACAACAGGCACAGCGGTATGTGAAAGCAAAACATACATTTTTTTAATATTTATTTCACAATGCACTTTAATATACTTTAATGTTCATCTTTATCCTGTTTTTATAATAACAAGGTACTTAATCTTAAGCTATTTCTCATAGTATTGAACTTAATAAAGACATATCGTGACGTAAAAATCCTGATCTTGATTATAGATTTAATTATTTACTCTATTATTGCGTACATCATTTGTATATTCATTATAACTGTGATAAAGTGGCCATTGTACTAATTAAAATAATAAATTATATTAATCAGTTATGTATAATACATGTAAGATTTGAATATACATAAATTAAGTATGATAAATGTTTACATCTTTTCTATACAACATAATGTAAAGTGAATAACAGTCATCGTGTTATATAAACTTAAACATACCATAGTGATGCAATGTGTTATAGATTGATTTTAATCCTCCAATGCTACACCTCTCTGTTTAGGATCAAAGTCAGGAATCACTTCCTGCACTAACTGTCGCAATTCGTTTTTTCTTTTTTCACTTTCTTTAATATTTACAGCAATCGTGAGATATTTTTTCCAAATACCAAAATACTTGACTTTTAATGTATTTTCATAAATTTTGGTAACTAACTTTCTTTTTTCTTCAAATCTTGCTTTAAATTCGAGTATTGTTACTTGCCACAATTTAAAATATTTATCTAAGAGTTTCATGTCATGGAAATCTATTGCAACCTGACGTTTCGAATTTAATTCCTTAACTTCCTGTTTCCATTCTTTAAATATTCTAGTCGTTAAATTCGTATTATAAACTAATTCAACAACTTCAGTTTTCATTTTGTATTGAATGTCTACTTCTTTCTTCCATATTGTAAAAATTTTCTTTGTCAATTTTTCTCTATAATGATCCTCTGCTTTTTTAGTGTTAATCTGTACTTCTTCGATAAATATTACGAATGGTTTCATTATATAATGTCGTAGAAGATATTTTCGATAGAATTCATCTGCTACATTGTTTAACCTTCGAAATTTTTCTACTTCACGTTGTCGATTTTGTTCTTGCTCTTTTCGTAATCTTCTTACTTCAGCTAAAGCCTATCAATAAATGAATAAAAAATTCATCATACTATCATTTCAGAGAAACACATTAATCATAATTACAAAAACAATTGTATTTTTGAGAAGATAACAAAGTTTGCGAGATGAAATTAGTGTTTATAACATTTAGTTTGCACATTAATATACTTTGACCTCTTGTTGTAATCTTTTCTTCTTCTGTTCCTCTTCTATTCTAGCAGCTTCTTCTTTACTTTTTTGTTCTTCGAGTTTCTGTTTACGTATTTCTTCAGCCAATTTTACTCGTTTTCGTCTAGCCTCTGCTCGCGCTTCCATTCTTAATAGAAATTTTGGTGGATCCGGTGGATGTCGTGGTATCGTTGAATTTTCGTCTCTTTCAGGAAGATGTACATAATCTATTATAAATCTCTTTATCAATGTAAATTCAAAAGTATCCTAAAAATCGGTATTACCTGTAACCATTTTGTTGCATTAACTGAATCAATGTTCTCCTCGTACTTCGTCCACAATTAGTGAGAGTTTTCTTTGCTATGTCCATTGTTTCCCTATTTGCCCATGATATTTCTTTTTGCATCTGTTTCAGTTTCAATTCCTCGATTATTTTGCTCTGTTCGGCTAGTTTAGCTTTTTGGTTTTCTATTATCTGTTTCTGAGCATTTAATCGACATTGTGCCGGTGGCTCGACAATAATACGTTTGCAGTAATTCGTTTTTTTCTTCATATGTACTTTATTAGATTCTTCCGCCATTAAAATATCATTCCTAGTTCTTGGTTTTTGACTTCTTTTCGTTAGCTCTTTCTGACAATCTACAATTGTATTTATAAACATTTCAATTTTTCGTTCTTCGGAAATCTCTTTTCCTTCTGTCTGCTTCTGAACATTATTTTTCGCATCTCTCATACGGGTTTTCCAAATATCGAAATACTTTCTCATTATCTTCCTTATCATATTTTGTTGAATCTGCATTTTAATCTCGCGCAAGCGTTGTCTTTCCGTCGCATGTCGTTTTAAAATATCAAAGTATTTCCTTAAAAGATGTAAGCGTTGCGTTTCTATTTCAAAGTTAGTTTTATCTTTAATCGTTACTTTTATGTTTCCAATAGATGATATTTCACACTTTGTTTTTTCATTCTCCAGTTTCAACAAAGAATCGTCGGCTTCTGTTATCGTATTTTTCTTATAAACAGTATCTATACTTTCATTATGATTACGATTGATCTGATTCTGTTTTTCTTCAACTGTTATCTACGAAGAATTCTCTATATTTCTGATTACAGTGAAAAATATATTTTATGATTACTTAAAAACTCATACTAACCTTGTTTCTTAATTTCCTAGATATCCTCCAAAAATCATCATCATCCGAGGATATAAAATTTCTCTTCGTACACGTGTAGGATTTCGAGAATTTGGGTCGAGATTTGCTTATTTCCATTTCAAATTTTTTCAATTCCCTTTCCAAAAATCGTTGCTGTTTCTTCATGTATAATTGTTTCGTCTCTTCTTGCATCAATAATCTACGAAATGAATTTCAGCATTATCCTTCGTAATTTCTTTATCTTCATTATTTTTTAACTATATCATACTTTCTAGCTTCTGTCAAAACGGGGCTATTCACGGGCGAAGCAGACAAGTTCTCTCGCGATATACGATGCCTTGCATTCATTATAAAATTCGGATCAAGAAATGTCTTTTCCTCATCTCTCAACATCCGAAGCTTCTCTAATGGATGAAAAATATTCACTTTCATCATCCGATCCATCAGATTTGTTACTTCATTCATGTATACCATAGTGGCTGTAAAATAAGCGACGTCTTTCTTACGTTTTGGTAAAATGTATTATAGTCATTCTAAACTCTTGTTGACACGTTATTGTGTCGTTGTTAAGGAAAATTATTGAAGATATCCCCTACATACACACACATGTAGACCACATCTCCATTCATAAATTGAAGGGTGGAAATAAGCGTTGTCGCGTGACAAAAACTTATCGACTTTACCTTATGTTAAAAAAAAGTTTGTATAATATCAGTATATTAGTATATTAGATTGTTTTCTACGTTGTTGAAGATTTTTTAATGTATAAAATTATTTTAGTTAAATTTTTGTTATTAATAAATCAGTAAAGAATCAATGACATTACTTTGATATTACTTTCAAATATGTATTTTAATATATCAGTATTGCGCATAATAAATAAAAATAAATTGATTATATTAATATTATATTTATTTTATTTATAATAATTAATTAAATTATATTTATTTTAGAAAAAAAATAACATCGTATCGATATTAAGTTTTATAAAAATTTTTAACGTCAGATTAGATTAACCAAAAGTTGTAAAAACTATTACTTTAAATTATTTGTAAAGTTATGTATTAGTAATTGTATCTGTCAGTTCGAAAATTTCCCGCCATTTCAGTGGTTCTCAATCAGCATTATGAAAATAATAATGTCGATTGTTGACGAACCAGTGAACTGCAGCAGGTGCATCACAAGGCAAAAAGTGCATCTACTTTGAAAACTTATACATTGAAAATGGTAAGTCTTCTATTTTACGAAATCCAAAAACACAAACATTATATCCTTACTTTTTTTCTGTCGCAGATGTTATCATACTTTCCCAGCGATCCTAAAATCCTACAAATATAATCATTATATGGTTAAAAAGATTGAATATCTTTAATTCTGTTTATCCTTTACCAATAGAGTTTCTTGTAGATTCAAAGCATGTTTTTAGCAGGTTGCAGATGTAACCATTTTGGTACAGAAGGAGAAATAAAATGGATCCAAGGGGCCCTCCTGAGGGGGCCCCTGTTAACTCCTTTGAGATACACAATATCGATAAAGTGTCTGACAATTCAGTAAATTGGCCTACAGATCATTCTTTCCCTTCATCAACATTTGAACAACAAAAAAAAATGAATAATAATAAACTGTTATTTTTAACTGTAAGTAAATTTATAAAAATACACTTTTATAGTTAATTTATCCACATATGATGTCTGAAAATATTTTGTTATTAGGTGGAATATGTGGAAGATCCATCACGGGAATACTCCCGTTTATTTCCTACATACGAACAAGTTTCTTTTTCTCCTAGGCTTTCGTCTCCACTTTTAGATTTTGAACACCGTGTTAGTCCTTTTGATCCCAATATGAGTTCAGCTGCTAGATATTCACCAATTCCAGTACAACTTCCACCATCTCCTTTTCATAATTCTGTTGTAATATTACAAGATTCTTCTTCTTCATTAATATCCTCAACAAATGAAAGAACAAATGTTAATTATGTTTCCCAACTAACGCATCCAATTGATACACCGAATGTACAACAATCAGATAATTCTACTGACTTTGTTGCTAATGAAAATGAGGAACAACTAGTGTCTACTGTTGGTAGTGAATTGATTCTTATGCAAGGTAAAATTCATATTGTCTCTAAAATAAAGTATAACGATTAAATTACAGTATATTATATATTGAAAAATATATTTATAGAGTCAAATTCTGGATTAGAATCAGCAACTCCATTGATATTGACAGGCATATCAAGTACAGATTTTACATTAAGTAGAGATTTTCTTGTTATGCAAGATGACCAAATAAATGTTATAAATTCGTTTAAAACACAAAATCTTGATGTAGATAATTCTACACATCTTTCATCAACTGCAAAAAATTCAAATAAAGAAAATAATGCAGATCCTTTAGCTGCATCTAATAAACAAGAAATTAATGAAATTTTAATACCTACTGAAGAAAAAAAAGATAATGAAAAAAAGAATGTGAGACGTTCAAAGCGTCGTATAAATGATAAAAAGAATTTTTGTATGTAATTTCATTTTTTTTTAATTAATATATGATAATTTTTAATTAATATGTGATAAACTGAATTTAAATTTTTTATAGGTTGTGATGAATGTGATGATATGTGTACTGGTGATAATTGCACTTCACATAATGTATGTACAATAGCAGATCAGCCGGTACCATCTCGTGCTATAGCAACACTGCCAGGATCGTATCTTTCTATAAACAAGTTATCCAGTTCTGAAATTATATCAGGCGGATCAGATTATGGAGTGTTTGCAAAACATTACATACAAAAACGTACTCAATTTGGACCCATAGAGGGTATCTTATATCCTTATGATGGTACACCATTTAAGAATGAATTGCCATTGCTCTATGAAACTGAAAATAAAGAATTTTTAAAAGTAGATGTTTCAAATGAAAGTAGGTGTTAAATAATTTCAAGATGTATTTAATAAAATACAAATATCTAATTTAAAATATTTTATTAATAATGCAGATGCTTCAAATTGGATGCGTTTTGTTAGACTTGCATTAACATATAAGGAACAAAATTTGGTAATTTGTCAACAACGAGACGGAATAGTATTTTTGACTACAAGAAGTATTTTACCAAAAGAAGAATTAAAAGCTGGTCCTAGTACTGACTATGCAATTCGTAGAAATTTAATACCGCTCAAATCTACGCAAGAAATAAAAGATGATAAAGGTATATATAGTTTAATATTCGAATTTTTATTTATATTTATGCAATTTTCAATTACAGAGCACAAAAATCAGATATCTACTTGGTCACGACTAGATGATAATCATTCCCGACGTATAAAAGTATTTCGCGGTAGAAATTTAAAAGAGAAAAAAAATTCAAGACAAAATAATTCTCAAGAATGGAAATGTTCTGTGTGTGGTTTAATTTTTAGAAAACTACTTTTACTTAATTTACATGCTCTCGTCCATGGTTCTGATAAAATTAAAACTAAAATTCAATCTACCGTTTGTCCACAATGTGGATTACAGTTTCAAAAAGAAAAAGAATTGATCAATCATATTTCCCAACATGGGAGATTATCTTTAAAGAAAGCAAGAAGATTGACTTCTTTGTCTACATATAAGTGTTCAATGTGTTATAAACGTTTCGCAACAAAAGTACGATTGCAACAGCACTGCTTAGTGCATGGTGCTGAAGACCAAAAACCACTGCCATGCAATATTTGCTTCAAAAGATTCATGAATAATTCAGCACTCTCTTGTCACTTAAAAACACACAGAGGTGAATTACACTTATATTAAATAATTTCAATTTTTCATTTCTCACGTTATTTATACTTATTTTTTTTTGTTATTCAGAAAATAAACAAGTATTCGAATGTCCAATGTGCCGACAATTATTTAGTCAAAGCATAATGTTAAAAGATCATATCGAAACTCATAAAAATGAAAATGGCACGTTTAGCTGTCCCTACTGCCAAAGAATATTTATTAAATATTCGGTTATTCGTAAACATATTAGAGCACATCATTGTGAAAGAAAACACAAATGTCAAATTTGTGCAAAGCGATTTGCTACAGTAGATAAATTACAGATGCATCTACTAAAACATTCTGATCATAGGTATAGTAAAATTTATATAGGATACAAAAGATCATGCAATATGTATATATAACAACTTTTTTTCTTTTTATAGAGAATTTCATTGTGCGAATTGCGGAAAACAATTTAAAAGAAAAGACAAATTAAAAGAACATATGACAAAATTACATAATTCGCAAACAGCTAGTGAAGAACAAATATCACAAGTTACACAAACTAAAACATTTGTTCCAAAAGTATATTTTTATTTGTTAAAAGACTTATCTAACAAAAAATAATGTTTACTAATAATTTACATATTTTTACTAGGTAAACCCTAATGATTACAATCATTTCGTTTATAAATGTCATCAATGCTTGGTGGGTTTTAAACGAAGAGGAATGCTTGTGAATCATCTGGCAAAAAGGCACCCAGACGTTGCACCAGAATCTGTGCCAGAATTAAATTTACCAATTTTACGTCAAACACGAGATTATTATTGCCAATATTGTGATAAGGTGCTTCTTTATATTCATTCACGCAATAAATTGAGCTATTTATTTTATATATTTTTTATATTATACTTTACAGGTCTATAAAAGTAGCAGTAAACGTAAAGCACATATCATGAAAAATCATCCAGGAGCTGCTTTACCACCAAGTAATCGACAGAAAAAGTCGGATTACTCCAATTTACCAAATCCAACATTTAGTCAAACTGTTGGTAGCATTACAACTACACCACAAAGTTGTCAATGGTGTCATAAACAATATGCTAGTAAGGTAAGTCATAAAAACCTGTAGTTATTATTATATCAAAATTTAATTATTATATTTTATATTTTAATTTGTTTTATTTTTATAAGGCAAAACTTTTACAACATCAAAGAAAAAAGCACTCTAATCTAATGGAGCCGGCTGATCAAGTACCACGTTCACGTAATCGACAGTCACAGAATCAAAATCAGCCACTGATACTTATTGAAGATCACTTTGTGTTGTCCGATTATATTCAGACGTGCGAGACAAATTCAGATTTCTTTAAACCGAGAATAATCAAAATATCTGATGATGTTGATCTGATAAGCAATGGATTAGAAATAGTTGGGCAACAATTTGTTCGTATGCGTGATATACGCTGAAAAGATCTGTGGCAACCTCAATGAGAGGTTTTGTCAATTTAATGAGATATGAATCTCACGAGTTTGTGCACAGTAAAGAAACACTGTGCTTTTTGCTGCTGTTGCCAAATATTGGTGCCCATGAGGGGTAATTGATTCTCCGCTGCGAAGTATTTGGAGCACAGCTTGGTTAGCGTCAGTGCGAAACACTGAACGCTATTTTGTTGGTTGTATGGTTGATAATGATGTCATGACCGTAATTCGGTCACAATTTTGAACAAATTTATTGAAATGGAGTACACACTATTTTACGAATACTCTCAGCCTTAGGGCGAGAACATGGACGAAGATTTAAATGTTAACACACAATGGGAAACACAAACATGGAGATTTAAGACTTAATACAATGGGAATGTTAGTTATTGAGATCTTTGCTCAAAGTATTATGAGTACAGAGCGCAAACAGGTAGAAAAAGTCCTCTTATTATCGATACATCACTGGCATTAACTCTAGTAGTTTCTTTTAAAATTTCAAAAAAGCTTCAATTCGATGTGATTCAATTATGGATGTTAGATTGATCGAATTTGAGCTTCAAGTTTAAAGTGAAATTTAAACGCAGCTTAAATTTGGAAAATGCGA